ATGCAGAATTAAAGTCAGGGATGATGTAGGCCCCTTAGAGTTGTTTAGCAATTGTATGAGTAACACTCACTTCTAATAACCCAGTTTCCAAATATCCTCTTTGCAATAATGCAAACATGTTCCTAGGCCCGGGCTGGTGAAGTGTCAGATCAGGAAATTTCATTTATTTCTTTACAATAAAAAAAGAAACAGCAATAACTCTACCAACAGACTGGACAACAGTTCCTTTTATGTACTTGCAAGCAAGGGACTCAAACCACCGCAATCACACCTCTTGTGTTTTCAATGAGAAGAAGAACGAGCAGCAAAACCAGTGAATGAGATGTCTACATACGCACAATGTTGTTTTTGTGGTTTGTTACCTAGACCGCAGCACTACAAATAAAAAACACAAAATAAAAAATTTTGCTGAATAAACATTTTACAAATATCCATGGGCATGATATACACCAGGTGTTTACAATCTTTTTTTTTTTTTTAAACACTGTTGCGGTCATACAGTCAGGATTATTATAAATGCATGCTTAATTAAATTAAACATGTGCAACACGGTCATATTCAAACCAAAGCTTCTGCATGCAAATGCAATCTATAAACAGCGACTGCTGTTTACAATGATGTGTATAAATGCAGAGTCTCAACATGACAACATGAAAATTGCAGACAAAATGAGAGCAGGAATGACTTCATTGGCTTATACACCGCTCTGAATTCACAGTCATACCAAATCTCTGCTTTTTTTCCCCCTTTTTTAAATTACATTAGACACTGGCATCAACATGGTCACAAAGTTTTACTTGGTCACAATAATCCCACCTCTAGTGTTTGACACGAGTAGTTCTCAGTTGTAAAGCTGCAAAAGTGTTGATACCGCCTTGACAAAGTTCTAATGGCGAGATCCTGCTGTCATTATGTGACAAATTGCTTCGAGATTAGGCACTGGCTCCGGACCAACCCTCATACCGCCTTAGTGAAAAGAGATTGTAGAATTGGTGATTTTACATCAGCTAGAATATACAGAAGTGAGGTTTTGCTTCTCTAATCTTGATTATCAGGAAGAATATGCACCTGGTGAGTACATACTACGTCAAGTAGCAATGCAGTGGCAAATGGGAATGTACTTACACAATAGCCTTCCCAAGATTGAATTTTCTAAGTCAATATGCATAACACAGATTAAAGAAGGGGGAAAAAAGGTCTAATAATAGCCAAGTCATGACAAACTATCTGACTTTGGTTAACATTTTATAGAAGAAAAAGATAAAGAAAATGTTAACACTGTTTCTAATAACCGTTTACTTTTTAGATGTCATAAGTGTTAGCATGAACTAACATGTTAGCATGTTGTTAGTATAACCCAATTAAGAATTAATATTTTAATTTTTCCTTTTCCAGGCAACAAGAAAACAGGAAATTCTCCCTCCCTAGACAGATTATAAATAAGACCAATAGCTAGCGTTGATGTGGTTGATACTGCTTATTTTATATCATGGGTGAACTGTCAATAAATACGGTCTGCAGTCATTCTGTAGTGTACATGAGGCTTTTGGGACAACATTTGGGTTAGAGGTTATATATGGGGCTTAGCCTTGAATATGCAAAGGTCAGCCTATTTAATTACCAATCACTGCTCTTTATTCCTGGTACTTACCTCAACCTGAAGACGACGAAGCATTTTCAGTTATTGTCCCCAATCTGGATTTTTCAAAGCCATCGAAGGACCCACCTTCATCCCCCTTAGCCTCCTCTTTCCCTATATCAGCCTATGCTTACACAATTTATTTACTTATGTACTACTACTACTAATTAACTACTTCTCTTATTAAAATAGGAATTTATTTAATCATTCTTAAGTTTATAATTGCTCTGTAAAGCAGAGGTGTCATACTCACTTTTTTTCATGGGCCCAATCTGATCTCAGTTCAATAGTTTTACTGGGCCAGACCAGTAAAACTATTGCATAATAGCCTGTATGAAAAACACCCCTTTAAATGTGCAAAGAACTACAAGCAGCTTCTTCAAATGTTCATTTTTTTCACATTCGATGAACCATCAATTGTAAAATGAAGGTGTAATTAAGATAAATACGTAAAAACAAATGAATTTCAACACATCCATTTTACTATATTTGGCAGGTCCAACCGTCATTACATGTACATTACAATTCACAGATCACAGTGGATCTAAAATAGGCACAAAACTCTTACATGTCCAGTTTTTGTAAATAGACAAAAAAAAATAGCATTTTATGCATTTACAATTGTAAAAATTTGGCTATATCTAAAAATACTTCCACTATTTTGCATACATAATTTCTCCTGTGTAGTAATGCTGGCATCATGTCGCCAGACCAAGAACTGCAGTGCATTTTATTGAAATAAAGAGAGTAATTAATGTCTTTGCAAAGCTATCCGGTGGGTGGAATTGGACCCTCTAGTTGGCTGCTTTTGGTCCTCGTGCCACATGTTTAACAACCCTACTGTAAAAAGCATTTGGGTTACAGTTTTTAGAAGCAAGTTTTATATATATATATAATATAATATATAATATATATATATATATAATTATATATAATAATATATATATCCCCCTCGATGTATAGGCACACACGTACACCAAACAATCGTATGAAGTGTGTGTTGCAGGAACAAGCCTGTGGCCTACTATGGAAGCCTCCTCTACAACCACAGGTAGAAATGATACAAATGTAGCCTCGGCCGATTATTGCACTTATCACAGTTTAGTGGCTCAGACGAAACAATGTTGCAACCATCAACACAGCGCCATGCTATCTAGAAAACACACCGAGATGGATGCTATATATTTGAATGCAGTGCGATATAGTAGGAGCAAAGACCTAACATAAGCAGCCGTTACATTTTCCTGTCTGCTGTGTCAAATGTGCCACAAATAGTCGCCAGCCTAGGCTTAATAAGCGTGTATTTTTGTTTCGAAAACTCATTTGCACAGGCCTAGTTGCTAATAAGAGTGTAGGCTATGTCGAGAAGGGATAAGAAATATCTGGGCCACAAGCTGCAGGCTACTGTCAGCCCTGGGGTATTGCACAGAGAGCGCGACAGGGAGCCAAAAGTGGGTGAGAAAAGCGTTTCCTTCTCGCCACAGCTCTACGTTTTTTCGACCGTTCACTCAAAGCGGAACGCTCGCTACGAGCGAGAACCTGTCAAAACTGAGCTATATTCGACACATTAAAGCACAGGCCTGTCCACTGGTGTGTTCACCAGTCGGCGGAGGTTGAAAATAAGAGTCGTTGCTGCTTACCATCTTGCAGGTCGGATGATGAAATCCAAGCGATGTGAACGGAAAAGGAGGTTACAACAGCAGAAGTCAGCAGGCCGCCGAGCTGTGGCGAGAAATACAAGAAAAATACGCTGTAGGTGCTCTCGGCTCTCGTCCTGGCTTTACACCCAGGTTCAGGATCTCTTAACCGTTTCTCTCTCCTTCACCGAGGCTTTCACTGCAGTGGCTGAAGGGAGGGAGACCCGCTGGGAGGGGACAGTAAGCGGAGGAGGAGGTTCGGTTTGACAAGCAGGCGGTGGCGGAGGGGAGGAGAGAAGAGTCGAAGGGGGGGAGGTGCAGCAGTACTGTACATCCGGGAACTGCTGGGTCTATCGATTTATTTATTTATTTGTATTCCTGCTTCGAGTACAAGTTTGTGCACGTGCTCCCCCAACTGGCTTTATGACTGTACTACAAGAAGAGGCCAATCTAGCCTTCGTCTCCTGAACCTCAGTATATCCAAGTTTTACATGGAGTTCATTTTTGCTATAATGCCCTAAAGTGCTTGAATTATTCCTTGGCGATTGTGTTCCATATTGACACGGTAGCTTCACACAGTTGCTGCAGATTCACCTACTGAATCTCCTTGATATGCACCTGCTGTTTCACCACTTGCCAAATGTGCAATACTGGATTGAGAGCTGGTGAGTGTGAAGTCCAGATAAGCATACCAAACTTAATTTCACATTAAAAAAAATAGTCTGAGGTGATTTTACCTTTGTGACATGGTACATTATCATACTGGAAGCAGCAAGATGTCAAAAGATGGGTACACTGTAGTCATAAAGGGATGGACATGGTCAGCAGCAATACTCAGGTAGAGTGTGGTGTTTAAATAAGGCTTAGTGGTCCTACGGAGCCCAAGGTATCCCAAGAAAATACCCCCTCACATTTACACCACCAATAGCCTGAACCAGTTATACAAGACAGAATGGGTCTATGATTTCATGTTGTTTATGCAAAATTCTTCTTTTTGACAATGTGCTTGTTTCTAGATTGTCTTATCCTTGTATTTATCCCCAAACGCCTTAATAAATCACCTATAAACATGACCCAAACATGTGCGAGTATGCACATAATGTGATTCTGCAGTATGGTTTCCTTTGTGTCAGCCATTTTCTTCTGTACTATACTTTTTTCGGAGGATGTGCATGGATTCTTTGTTTGTTCCTAATTCCATTCCATTTTTTAAAAATGTATACAGCGCCAATTCACGACAACATTCACCTCAAGGTCTATTATATTGTAAGGTAAAGACCCTACAGTTTTAGAAAGAAACACCAATAATAACACAAACTTCTATGACGAAGCACTTAGTGACAGTGGGAAAGAAAAACTTCTTTTTAACAGAAAGAAACAAAAGGCAAACTGTAGGAGAGACAGCCAGAGTCTAGTAACTGGCCGTGATTGAATACAGTAATGTTGTATAAACACACTGAAAGTGAAAAGAGAAGATTGGAGAAGGAATGCTCCGTCCATTAAGCAAAGCCCCCCCGCTCCCCACCAGCAACATAAGCTTATTGCTGCATAACAAAGTTTTATTCCTAATCTTAAACGTAGCACAGAATGAGTGTGCCACGCAAAAAGATTTTTCATTTTAATGTCTACAATGTAAACAGTCAACACTATCACAAAAAAAGGTCAGAACAATACTGAATATAAACTTCACCACAGAAAAAATTTAACATCACATTTGACACCAATTTCTTGCATAGGTAAGTAAAGTATTTAATTGAAAATAGTTGTCATTTCTACAAAGTACACACAGTAACGTAAAAACATTTCACATGGTCCACTCACTGTACAAAAATACATTTTTTTAAATATCATATATTTACCACATTAAATAGAACAAAATGGTCCAAATATTCCAAATAAATTATTTGTCTTTACGCACAAATATCCGTGGCAAGGACCACTGTTAGAGGTAGAGAGAATAAACATACACTAGACAGGGGCACAACTTCACCCAAATCCAAAACTCCTATTTGCCACACTGTATTACACAAATGATAAAACACACTGATCCACAACACTACCCTGAGGGTTTCATTCCAAAATTGGGACTATTTTAAAAATCACTCGAAGTGTGACAGCAAAGTTTAGATAATTTCATGGTTGCTGACTCACAAGACTCACAAGTTCAATCCATTGCAAAATGATATGGGCTGAAAACATTTATCAAACAAGACAGTTATGATTTTGGGTAACAACAACTAACCAAAGTTTGCATAGAAGCAGTCAATAATGACTTAAAATGGCAACAGCACCAACAAAACAGCTGTTTGGATAATAAGAACAGCCTTCAGCCTTGGCACAGCATAAATGAAGCTGAATTCAATTGAATATAAATTCTAAATTTATATTACAGTGACAGATTCTTGTATAAATTACTGCACTTGTTAAATCAGACAGAGAATGATGTAATTCATTTTTAGGCATGTCTGAAGAATTTCTTTAACCACACTAGAATGCTCTGTGTTTCCTTTTGTGGAAAGTTTGGATTTTGAAATGAAACTCTCTGTAGACGTTCAGTAGCTTCAAAGTACATGCACGTCTGTACAAGCACCATATGTAAACAGATACTGTAACTAAACACACAGGCACTCTCACACACATACACCCATGTACATACATGTAACTCTTGTCACACTTGGGGTTTACCAGATGTCACAAAAAAACTGCATGTGAAAAAAAATATTTGCCTCATAAAACTTCATTTAATTTTAGCCTCAATAAATGCGAAAAGACTGGAAACATCACTGCATTTTATATTTCAAACCATTAGAAATGAATTAGCAGGAGCCTGAACACATTCTTGAGGGCATAATGGAGGGAAATCCTGCATTTTCTCTTCAAATACCTTTAGTTTTTCCGATATTGGCAGATTGCAGACAGACAGAAAACAGAGTAAAACCACAGAATTGTCTTCATTTCAAAACAACATGCAGATGATTTTAAAAATCTTTCAGACCATCACACAAACATCTCTTTGTTGACCCACATGAGCGTACGCGTGTCGTTGGGTTTGCATTCGTATTCAATGCTGTTGAAGCTGTTTCCCCACTGGCAGTGATCCCTCTTGTTGTAGTTGTAGTACTTCACCTGCCACACCGTTTCAAACATTCCCGCCTCTGTGAACTGAAGCAGAAGCAGATGTACCACTGTGTACATACACTGGCACACACAATGATGTAGAGCACATGCAGTGTGGTAGACTGGAACATGCATGGGTACTCTCTCTATAAAGGCACAGACTCCTGTTGTATCATGTGTAAAATCATTTGAAGATGTAGTGAAAAGGGAGCATACTGACAGCACAGATGGATGCACACACAGGCACACGCAGACGCACACACACACACACACTTCCAAACACACACACCAGATCATCCCATAGGCCTCAGCGTGTGAACTCAACAGATGGGTCACACATATAAATGTATGTAGACACAAATAACACAGTATTTCATAATGTATTTATATTTCATTTTACTGCCAGAAAACCAGAAACTTTAAATTTATAAATATATATTAATGTATTTTCATGTAAAATCTTAGCATTAGGTGTTCTCATTGCCATGAAAATCTATGTAGTGCTGCTTGCTGAAAGAAAAATGTACCATCTTCAATGATGTCACACTTTCTAAAATGGAACTTGAGCAAGGAAAGCGGAGGATGCTGGAGAAGCTGCGATTAAAGATACAAAGTGAATCTTCAGGGAAGTGTTTTTATCCATGGTGCATGAAAAGCTGTGACTGAGTGGGCAGTGCATGTGATAAAATATATACATGGGGTGCTGACGGTTCTTTAAGTTATCACTTTAACCTGTTAAGTTAAACTGTCTTAACTTGACAAAGGCTAAGGCCGATTAACTTCTTATTTGACAGCATAAAAACTATTTGTTTGACAGCACTCACTGGATATTCAAAACAATGGGATAGTCCATGGATCTCACTGAAGTCTAAGAAAGAAGGTCTTCTTGAGATTTGCGATTCCATTTGAGAGTCCAAGATCACCTGTTGAAACAATTCTATATATTAAAACTTAGTTGGATGTGTCACTACTTTGCCAATACCCAAAACTGTCACCCTGAGATGAAAGGAAGTTGACTGATATGTTCAGGAACTACTACCAAGGCTCAAGCCTGCCATGAACTGCAAACTGCTGGAAAACCAGCATCACTGTTCACAGTGAAAAGTTTTATGTCACTGTGGAGCGAGAGGGTACAGACCTGCCCCTTGAAATTTAATTGAAAATCCAACACCTTCAGCCTATATGGACAAGCGGATTGCCTTCTGGAAAAAAGTTTTTGATAGGACAAAATAAAGATTGAGCTACTTTGGCCGCAGTGAGAAGAGGTATGTTCTGAGGAATAAAGATGAGGATTTGAAACCTAAGAACACTGTAGCAACCGTCAAACACAGTGGTGGTAACATCATGATCTGGGGGCCGTTTGCTGCCATTATTACTGGTACATTGCACAAAATTGATGGAATAAAGAAGGAGGAGACCTGCTTCCAAATTCTTCAACCTTGCCTCAAATCAACAGCTAGATGGTTGAAACTTAGACAGAGTTGGGTGTTCCAGCAGGACAATAACTGGAAACACACATCAAAGCTCAGTCCATGTCAGGAAACAAACCAGTTTAAATGAACTCTACCAACTCTGTCACAAACAGTGGTCAAATATCCAGCCATAATAATGCCAGGATCTTGTTTATGGCTACCAAAATTGAGATAGATCTTGGTGGAGAGTGGCCGAGCTAAGATCTTGTGGGACTTCCAGATACAGACGTACAAAATGGTGGTGGCAAACCAACCAGACATAGTGGTGGTAGACAAGCAGAAAGCAGAAGAAGATGGCCATAGTGATAGGTGTAGCGATACAGAATAACAGCAACATCAGGAAGAAGGAACACAAGAAGCTTGAGAAGTACCAAGGGCTCAGAGAAGAGCTCGAGAAGATGTGGAGGGTGAAGGTAACAGTGGTCCTAGTGGTAATCGGAGCACTAGGTGCGGTGACTCCCAAGCTAGGTGAGTGGCTCCAGCAGATCCCAGGAACAACATCCAAGATCTCTGTCCAGAAGAGCGCAGTAAGGAACAGCTAAGATACTGCGCAGTACCCTCAAGCTCCCAGGCCTCTGGTAGAGGACACGAGAGAAGAATTTATATATATACTTTTGACTCTGTGTGGATTACAGAAAATATAAATAAATTCAAACTTATAATAATAATAATAATACATTTTATTTGAAAGCGCCTTTCAGAACACTTAAGGACACTGTACACAGCACAACACATAAAACAAATTTAAAATAGCAGAGTAGAAAGGTTATGTGGGATAAGCAAATTTGAACAAGTGAGTTTTGAGTCTAGACTTAAAGAGAGAAGAAAGTGATATTTCCTTAATCAGGAAGTAGGGAATTCCAGAGTCGAGGAGCAGACCAACTGAAAGCCCTGCTCCCCATGGTGGAAAGACGGGCAAGATGGGGAGAGGGGACAGAGAGAGAAAGAGAAGAAGAAGATCTGAGACACCGAGATGGGATGGTGATCTGAACCAAATCAGAGAGATATGGAAGGGAGAGATGATGAATTGCCTTAAGCGTATACAAAAGTATTTTGAAATTGATACGATATTTGACCAGGAGCCAATGAAGCTGCTGCAGGACAAGAGTGATGTGATGGATAGAAGGGGTCCTGGTGATAATATGGGCAGCAGAGTTCTGGGTGCGTTGGAGCTTGTGGATGGCTTTTAGAGTAAGACCGAAAAGAAGTAAATTACAGTAATCGATGGCTATGAACAAGAATGGCAGTGGCATGTGGAGTGAGAAAAGGACAGAGACGATTAAACTTGTGCATCTAATTGTTGTTTTTTTGAAGTCATTAAAGACATATGCTTTACAATCAATCCACCCTGGAAAAAGTAATTAAAAGTTCAAAATTAACATGACATTCATGACCATGATGAATATATATAGCCTTCTGATCACAACAGTAATATTACACAAATACTGAGATATGATATAAATATATAATATATAAGTTGTGAATATGCTTAAATGTAGGTGTAAATATAAAAGTAGTCTTAAGTACTCCTACGCTCATAAAATACTGTATCAGGCTATCACAAATCAATGGACCGGTGATGCAGCTGTGCCACACATCACCGATTAAAATCACTTTAACATAACGTTTCTTTTTGATTAAATGCTTCAACTCCTCACATGTCATGTTTCTCCCTCAGGCATAAGAGGACCTAAGACTTGAGAACGCAAGCAAAGGAATCAAGGACATACCAGCTGAGACTCACTGTATATCATGAGGTTGCTTTCCCTCCATTGTGATTGTCTTTCCTTCTTTAATTAGTCTTGTCTATTCAATTACTCTCTGCACACCCACACACCCACACACACATGAATATGTATGTCCTGTGTAAATTGTCAGTCCATCTGTATTCTTGGATTCCTGATTTCTCCGTTTGGCTTATTGTGAGTTCGAATCAGCTTAGCATTAAACCTGGATTTTGGTGTATTCCTGCCTCATGTGTCCTTCATCTGGGTCCTCATTTGCATAAAACATAGTAGAAAGTTTGACAGAATTACTTCTATTAGTTCAGTGTTAAGTTCCAATCTTAATCCAAGTGTATTAACAAACTCTGTTAACACACAACTGACCGCAGTCACTTTTAACCTTTTTGGGTTTGTTTCTTAGCCACCTGTGTTAGAACATTAGAGAGATTTCTGGGTTTTGCAAAGCTGATTAAGAATAAAACATCACCATGGGCTCCAGGAAATTCAATACTTGATATTTTTACTGTTCACTGGAAGTCAGAGCAGAGTTGAAACCCTAAATAGGTTATATTTCCACCCTCGAAACATTCATCATCTACCTGGTAACCTTGGATAAAAAAATGAGGCTATCAAGATACTCTGTAACCATAGAAACACTGCCAGAACCAGAACCATGACAACATAAACAGGAATGGTAAGACCATCACTTGACATTAATCTCAGGATTATAAGAACATTATGAAACACAGATATAGATGAGGTGAAGTGGCTGAACACAGATGAGATCACTTGGTGATTAAAGGACTGGTGAAGACCAAATCTTTCTGTCAGCAGGTTTTGATTTTAATCTGTCTCCATCCCATTTATTCCTATTTTCAGTAAAAATGTGTGCCACAGTTATTATTATGTTGAAGTAATTGTAAGATATGACACAACAAAGCTGGTGGAGGATCTAGAGATATATTAAGAAGACCAGGTAAGTAGTCTAAATGCATCCAGATTAAGAATAAATAGATGATCTGGTTATTTCTGGAGCCAAAAAGGGCCTTGGTTGCTACAATGAAAAAACACAAAACACTACCATGTTTAACGTCTTAAAATGAGTGGAACTGAAAAACTGATAAAAAAGTCAATCAAGAGAACCAAAATCCAAATTGAAGATACATGAATGATAAAAACCATCGCTAAAGAATTAGAATTTTTTTTTAGAGAGCTTACTGGGAACAGGGAAGCTCTTCATCAGGTTTCTTTACCAGCTCATATCAAAACATAATTCCTAAACACACGAGAACAGTTCTTCCACCTCTGTGCTGTGCACAGTGTATCCATACCTGTATGCTGACCTGAACTGGTTGCCTCTCTCCACTTTTGGTATGTGCCACACCTTCTGTCTCGTACAGGCCAGTATAGACCACAGACTGTGGGTCTTTAGACTGCTGCTCCAGGGGGAAGGTCACCCCACCCACGCTCATTGACCTGCATTGACCAGATCACACAGCAAAAATAGAATCATCACAAAACAGCAAAGGTATGAAATGCATGAATGAAAATAGTTTTACACAAAGAGGGAGGGAGAGAGAAAATCAGAGGAAGAGGAAGAGAGAGAGAGAGAGAGCCTTGTGTTGACAAATCAGTTGGTGAAATAGGGCTACAGCTGGGCTTCACTGGCTTGCCCCACATTCAGTTCAACACCACCTATGCATCACTGTGTGTGTGACCTAGTTTTATATTGGAGTGCTCCTTCAGTGATGTTTTTACATCCTGGTAGTTAAATATCCGACGCTAATCCTTATTGGGAGATGCGAGTACGACAACTCACATTACATAATCATGAATTGTAGGCAAATCCCAGGAGGGCGGTGCCACAAAGCCCAAACACTGGAGTCCTAATCTGCGGGGGATTTGACGTGCAGCCAGTTGGGGTTTATGCTGCCTTTATGTGCTCCACGTAAAATCCAACTTTTGAACGTTGAACTTGGAAACAGTCTCTTTACCCCGTTGAGCGCTCCAGCAAGGCTTGCTTCTAATTCAGTTATTATTATTATTATTATTATTATTATTATTATTATTATTATTATTATTATTATTATTATTATTATTATTATTATTATTGAAAGCTACTTAAAAGAGGAAAAGGGGTGTGTTGTTTTAGGCTCTCTGTATTTTAGGCTTGAAAATCAAAATCAAGCCTAAAATACAGAGACCATCAGAACATCGTTGTAATCGACTGCAGGTTTAAAATCTGCACTTGCCTTCTCTTCAGCATATCTGCTAAAGCCAGTGGTATCAGTGCGTCTGCCTTATCCTTGGTCAGTTACAACAAAGACATGTATCTAATTACTCTCAGTACAGATGAAGCAGAAAAGCAGTGGTGCTGTAGTGCAGGCTATTTCGCTTTAAATGGGAAATACATTAAATCAGAAACAAACAATACGACAAAGAAGTCCCAATATTTAGTAAATTCAGGGAGGATTAATAAAATATTCGTAAAACAACGTCATACAACCCCACAGGTCGCTATAGAAATAATTATTTAAAGGGAAAATATCATCAAAAATAGCAAATCAGACAGAAGGAAAAATCTTCATTATTTGAAAGGCTTTCTGAGCTTTTATCGCCATCCTCCAGTAACGTTTATCTGAATGCCTGAAAATATGTCAGCGACGCTCTTTGATAAATGAAATGATCTTTGCGTTTCCAAAAATAGAATATAGATTTAGAATATGGTGATCTGGACGTGATATTTGCCTCCCTGGATTAATAGGTTTCCTAGCAGTTTGGTTGGGTTATGACCTGGTCAGGAAAATCCACATGGGCTACCTACGTGGCCTCGACCGCTCCTGGTTTAACAACCACCTCGATTTTGTACTTCGACCCGGTCAGAAGCTTGATGGTTCGGGTCTGTCCGAACCGGGTCCCGTCGGATTTGAAGTACACGGCTGTGTTGTTAGGAAGCATCTTCAGTGAAATCCCAATTTTCACGATCTGCGGAACGTTGGCCATGTTTCCATATAGCTAGTGTATCTCAGGAGGACCGCGGGGTGTGGGAGGGATCGTCGATCAGTTCGTGGAAACTGAGAAATGCCGTGTGGTGAATCCCAGAGAGCACCGCGCAGCACGGGGAATTGCGCTGCGTAATCCCGTCCAACCTCCAGAATATAAACCTAATCCCAACCGTTGTCACGGGCTGGCTGGCAGACCGTGGGGATGTGGGGAAAGGAGGACCCAAAACGCAGACTCTGCGATGCAAACAGTGCTCTTTATTTACAGTGAAAAGGCTGTAAATACAATAACTCCCCGTTGCTCCCTCGAACCCCGTGTGCGTGCTTCCCTCCGATATCTGTGCTCG